TACTGCAGGCCAAAGTCTCGGAGTTAATGGAACGGGAGCGTAAATTATTGGAAGAACATACGCGACAGGAGGCAGACTTTGGACTCCGTAGGGCCAAACTTAAGGAACTCTATCTTCAGAAAGAAGGTGAGATTTGAAGAAAATGAGATGCCTGGATGCTGGAAGGTATATGCTGAACTGAGTGCCTTTGAGCTGTGTAGCAGTCTGGGGAAGATGGAGAAAAGACCTATTGAGGATAAATCTTCAGCACATGAATATGGGGTTTTATGCTGATTTTGAGTTGTATGTAGTGTGCTTGTGGTGCAGAAGAGATGCTGTAGATAGAATTTTAGCAATTTAGCTTAGCTGATGATCCTAAAGAGGCTCACATTAATAAAGTGTTCAAGATTCATTGAACATTTGGATGTTCTCATACCAAGTGGCTGAAAATACAGTTGTTAAATGCTTTGTTAGTTTAAACTTTCATCTCTAACATATGCATCATCATGTTTATGTAAATGCACTACAACCATGGGATTGCAGTACATTAACTTGTTTTAGATGAAAAGTTAGACTGACAAAATAGTTGATATGAAGGCACATGCATTCCCGTGTTTTAAAGGTGAGTTAAAATTTTAGCAGTAATACTGTCATATAGATTCAGAGAGCTTTGTATGTGGAGAGATGCATATTGAAATAAATGAAGTGAATTCAAAGAGAATTTTGATTCAACATGGTTGCTAAATAAGAAGTTATGAATGAGGATGAGCGTGCACCTAAAGGGTTAGAAAAAGGGAAGAAAAATATATGGCAAGCAAAGACAGTAAGGTCTTTTACCAGAAGGTAAGGCTAAACATATAATTAAGATAATCATGTAGATGGTTATTGGAATAAGACATGCCAAAAAGAACTTGGATGTATGTAAAAACTTACATATTTAATCTTTAACACCATAATTGCACAATTAGGTGTTTTAGCTTACCTTCCCATGTGCAAGTTCGCAAAAGAGTGCTTGGAAAAGTGTAGGAAAAGTGGATTTGAGTTCATTTTTTTAGTTATGGTGAAGTAATAATGGCAGGCAGATGGCATTTTATAAAAATTATAAATAATGCTTTCATGAAATGAGTGTAAAAAAGTAAGAGTAAGAAAAACATATGAGTTCATGATTAGCCATGATGATGTTTTTCATTATATAATTTATGTCACAGCTACATTCTCTCCATTGTTTGAATTGCAATAATAAGGTTAACCTCCTCCTTTAGGAATTGGTTATGTCCAGAGTGTTAGTTTTAATGTCAAACAAGAGAGGACAACAAATATAAAAACAGAATAGCCCAAGTTAGGGAATTAACATGAATTATTCTAAAACATAGATATTTAAAGATCTCTATATGCTCTGAAAGTTCATTTAAGGTTTTGAATGTTACACCTGATAGATGGAACCTTTATACATTTTTTCTGTTGTCAGGAAATAACCTAGGATATGAACATCAGTCAAAGAAAATGTAAAAAAATAGTTACATACCAATATTTGATAATGATTGACATTGGTTTCATAATTTTTTTTTATTATATTTACAACAGTATGATAAGGACACAAGTTTGAGAAAATTCACTATAGTGGTGGTGATGATCACTTAAGTAATGACATTTTAGGAATATGACAAACTGCATGAATACTTAAAATTTAGCAGCTGTCAAGCACTTCACCTAAACCCAAATGGTTGTGTGTATGTAGTTTGAATGGAGTAAATACAACACATTTATTAATAAATTTTCTTTATGATGAATTATTCCTTTGAAACTTCACTAATAAGTATTTTTAGAAAGTTGAGCTAATGCAATCTAATTTCATGAAGTGATACAGCTTAATTTCATGAACTAATACAGTCTTATTAATATATGGGCATGTAATAATTTTTTTCCATTAGAAAAAACAACACTATTTTAATCATTAGGAGAACTAACTATCTTACAGCAGTATTGATGACTAATGCTTGTCTCTGCTGGGTTGCACTGGGCATGATATAATTGTTTGCCTTGACTCACTGACAGTTCCATGTACATTTACAGTATTAGAATATCTCATGAAGAGTTGTTGCTTTATGTTGTAATGTGTGATAGCAGTGACTTCCATGCACAGTGACCTGGCTGTTTGATGGTACTTGTTGCTAATATTCACTATATACTTGTTCAGCATAGAGAAAAAAAAATCAGAAAAAGGTAACACATTAGTTAATGGTCTCTTGTGTTCTGTTTTCCACAAGAAGTAGACATTGCAAAACACTCATGTCATCTTGAAATGTGTGAGATGGAAGCTGAACAGTATATCACCACAACACTTGGTTAATCATGGCATTGATCATTATTTTTTTACTTCTAATGGTTTTGTTTTCAGTCACATTAATAATAGAAGTAATGAAATTTGCAGAAAATTGGTATGTGCATAAAGTAGCATGCTCACAGTCCTTTATTAATCTCTCTTCTCCTGAAGATGCAGGTAACATCAGATAGCAGAAAGTGAAAGCCCATTTGTCTTGATTTTAACAGAGGAGTTGAGACTGCAGTCTGATCATACTAGAGCAGTTGAGGTGGAACTAGAGGTGCTACGTGCTCAGGTGCGAGAGCTGCAGGAAGAACTGGAGGAGGCTCGCAGTGCAGTCACAATTGCACAATGTACAGCTGAAAATGACATTGCTGTAGAACAACGTAAATGTCAGGAGGAAATAGCCACAGTCCAACAGCTCATGAAAGGTGAGTGTTCAGCCTTGTGCAGAGTTTGACTTAATTGCACTTCAGTGTTCTATGATATATATTGTGACAAGTTGATAGTTAACCCACTAACAATGGTGTGAACATTGCCGGGCATCCCGCCAGTGTGACACTGTATCGGGGCTTCATTGTTTATTATCCAAATGATATGAAACTCAGTGGTATAAATCGTAGTATATGTATATCTTAACATATTACAAAATCACAAAAATCCAATCATAATTAATGAACTTCATTCTCGAGTGCAACGGCCCCCTTAACTATATATCAAGTCAACTATTTTTTATGTCTTTCTTTACCCATTAACGCCGGTATATTCTGAAGCTGAAAGTAAAGATTCCGGGTGGCTACAAAATCGGCGGGCAGGGCTGCCCCGGAGTCTGTTAAAAAAAATACCACATATACTATAGCAATACTTATATTAGACTCGATTCGATTTTGAAATCGTCTTAGTTTAGTGTAATTTTTAATTTTTTTTTTTTTTTTTTATCACTTTTATGAATGTAAAATATTTATATGGACTTTTACCACCTGAAATGAAAAATGAATCGTCTCTTAAATCACAAATTTATTCACCTTTCAAATGATCCAAACCGCATTAGAATCGCCCAAGTAGTTATGAAGAAACAACAAAAAATATTGCCAAAGGTGTAGTTTTAAGATATCGGGCTTTGAAGTTGAGGATACTTTTCCCTGCATTCGTCTTCTTCTTCTTTTAGAATTCTGATCTCTGCATCAATCTTGATGCATTCTATGGCATTCACATGGTATTCTGAAGTGTAGTGGTAGTGTCTGGTACCTAGTTCCCCTGTTTTGCAAGGTGTTAATGCCAATAACTGCACATGATTGTAGAAGTACCGCGTGCCATCACTGGCTTTACAGTGCCTCTTGAGGCATATTATACAAATAAACAGCTGCTGCAGCTGTGATTAAGATGTATTTCTCATCATATAATGTCCTCTTAGTGTGTGATGAGGGCGCATCGCGCACTATGTATTGGCACGACTATAAGATGGTGTTGCGCCACTTTGGCTCTCTTATGGTGACAGCCCACTTTGTCTCTTAGTCTTCGCTATCAGCATTCTATGACATTCACATGGTATTCTGAAGTGTAACTGGTACCTGGTCCCCCCCCCCATTTGCAAGGAACTATTGGCAATAACTGCACATGATTGTAGAAGTACCGCGTTTCACAGGCTTGGCATAGCCTTGTGAAGCATTTCATAAGAATAAACAACTGCTGCAAGTGTGATTGAGATGTACTTCTCCTCATATTATGTTGATTAGTAACAGGAATAACATCTATCATTAGTAGTGTCCTATTAGTGTGTTACGATGGCGCTTCAGGGTAGGTCTAAGGAATGGTGTTGCGCCGAGGCATGGGATGTGCAGCCTTTCACTCTGGCTTTCTCTTGGTGACTACCCACCTGTTTCTTAGTCATGGCTGTCAGCTGTGCCGTAAGCAGAATTGCCAGTTAGCTACCAAAGAATACCAAAATAAATTGAAAAAAATACAAAAAAAACAAATTTGTCAAGTATATTTGCACAGACCCGACAAACTAAGCATCGGAGCTGGAGGCAGGGGGGTCAGGGATTTAGTCATAACTCCTTTATTTTTACATATTTAGGAGAAATATAATGTCATGGGATTGTGAAAGCCTACTAGATTACAGGAGATTTTTTCAAAATTTTGAGTATTTTAAAAAATATTCGCCAAAAATTCATCATGACGGCCCCCTTAAGGATAGGAATGAATGATTAGCAAGAAGCTTTAACTTTTTTAATATAGTGATGCCACTATTATTCTCTTGGTGGTACAGAGGCATTTGCTATTTTGTGTTCCTTTAAGAAAATGAAAATCTGTTTGCAACTATTGAGGCATTGGACCATTTACTCTCTCTCTCTATATCCATTCTGAAACCTGAGATTTTTGAGGCACTGGAGTAAATGGGTTAATGACTGTACATGTTTCAGCTTACCCTTAAAGCCTTGTACATATAAAGATAAAAAGGTACTCAACATGGATTCAGGACTGACTTGTAGCTGTCTCTTAATAATCATTCAGTACTGTTGCTGGTCCACATATATATCAAGATATTTTGTACAACAAAAGGCATGTGATTGTTGAGTGACTCAGAGTTGCTCTCGAGTCACAATTCTATCTTAGCTCCCACTGAATACTGAGGACAGTCATATGGCAGTTTAGTCATACTATCTAAAAATCATGTTGCATCAGTTATTAAACAGTCCAGAGACAATGAAACTGTGTACCTAAAGTGTCTCTGGAGTATAATGTAATGGTCTCAGTTGCATGGCAACAGCCAAGATACCTTTTTGTGTGGAAGTCTCTAGATTGGATATTTGGTGTTTATTAGAAACATCAGGTTCCTTGTAATGAGCTGATTGCTGCCTTCTGCACGTTTTTGAAGTTCAAGTTCAAGTTGAGGTTAATGAATTTCTATATTGAGTGAGTGAGCTAAGCCAGCGAGCAAAATACTAAACATTTCACTCTGGGTTCTCCAGTGTGGTTGATAGGATAGTATCTACTAATTGAACTGGTCATTGTCTCTTTAGAAAGTGATTGAGTAGGTGTGAGTTCACACTGTTTATGGCTGGGTGTTGCTGGTGATTTGGTGTTCTACGGGAGAGCTAGGAAGGCTTTCTAGTCAGCAAAAGAGATGGTTGTCCTTATGTTGGTGCTGCTCAACTGAAATGCATCTGGAGTGTGATCTCTTGATGATCTCGGTTCTGGATCCTAAAACTCCAAGAGCTTTGTTCCCTGTTGACAGCCACAGCCCCCGACTACTTAAGTAGTTGGGAGCTGTGTCAGTGAACAAGGAACATGGGGAGCCTTCGGTTCAATCAGAGAGCTGCGAAGTATCTGTTGTCTACCAGTCAGGTCTCGCTAGTGAGTCACGAGAAGTGCCTGCTGGTGAGAGTCAAGGACAAGTTTATTGGTTCTGGCATGACCCAACTTGGGAAGTATGTTGAGCCGAGTTGTTCAGGCTGTAAGTCATGGCTGCTACAAGATCTTATTGGTAAGATGTTTGCATCTTGTCAATGTAAGGTCATGTAAAGATAGTGGGGAATACTTTGACTCTCAGTTATGGCATTAAAATCCAGAGTTCTAGGCCACACAACTGCACAACTATTCCCAGGCCACACAACTGCACTGCTGATTTTGTAATAGTTGGGGATAGTGAGGGATTGGTTGATCAGGCATTGTATGGGTCTCTTATATTGTCTGAGTACTATTGGATTTTCATGTCCATTTAAAAGATATGCTGCTTTAAATTTTCTCAACTGTAGTATTTGCACTTGTTCCTTGTAATTGCAAGATTGTTATTGAGTGATATGTGTACTGCATTTTCAGTTTCTGTATACTTCATGTAAAATATGGCAAAGCATTCTCCTCGTGTGTATTTCAAGTCATTTTTTTACAAGTGCATTTGCGATTTCTATAGTTCTAACTTTGCCATATCTTGATTGTCAGTGAATTTTTATACTTAACAGAAAAAAGGAAAAAAAGTGTTTCAAACTTATGACTTATTGGGTTCATTTCATGGCAGGATCAGAAAAGTATATTTGTCAGTGCTCACAGCAGTGAATCGCAAAGGGCTGGCAACCATAGGAGCAAGGTGCTGTTGCAGTTGGCACAAAATTATGTATATTGAAAATTATTTAGAATTGTCATCTTTAGAGTGGTATAGTATTATTAAATATTTCAAATGAGATGTTCATGGCATTCTTGGACATGAGGTCCTCTGGAAGAACTGAGGACCTGAAAAAGAAGTCAAAACAACTAAAGGCAGAGCTAAAATTCACTATAAGAGATGATTTTCCATTTGATCTTCAGCCAATTGGACTTCAAAATCTGATGTTCAGGTTAATTTTTGATATCTGTAATGAATTATTACTCTGAATACTTGATCATAGGTTACTTGGATATTATGCATTTACATGTTTGTAACTTATTATTTTTTAAATATTAACCCATTGGACCCGGATGATGATGGGTCATGCATGAAAAAAGAGGTGGGTGACATGGACATGCCATCATAGGGCAAATTGACTGAGGCCCGGATGATGCTAACTTGCTGTCATGAGCGAAGGCCAGGGTGATAGAAATGACTCACCATGAGTGTTTAAACCTCTTAGAGTGTGATTTGACTCATTGGTCATTTCATAATTAGAAGGGGCTTTAGCATTATTCCCATTGATAAACAAATGTGGAATGTAACATGCAGTGACTGGAAGAGTGCCGGCACCAGGGAGGACTCCATTTCCATGCTGCGCACTATATTCCTGGTTGCTGTGACCAGCAGCGCAGGTTATATTACGTAAAATTGAAAAATGCAAAAAAATGAGATATATGATGCAAATAACAATTTTGTGATATTTACTACATAGAGAGAGGATATGGAGTCTGGAAAATAAGCTATTACCATCTGGATAAGCAAATCAAAAGACAAATCTGGACATTGGAAACTGGCAATAGAGCTAAAAAGTTTACACAAAATAACTTTGCAAAGGAAGGCATAGAGTCTTGTCAACGCTCATGTGTGTTCGTGTGTGCCCGGCCTATGTGTTGCGCGCCTGGGATGTTGGATACCTACATAACCCATTGCCTCTGTTTTCAGCACCATGATTTCCATGATGCAACTGGATCCAACAAGTTAACAAACAGTTGTATAATGAATTTCATAATTATACATCTTTAATCCAGAACTAGCTGGAAAAGATGCCAGAAGGCCTAAACTCCTAGGCTGTGTGTAAATATTGTGGCATGTGCCATTGTGTGGGCAACTAATGCATATGTTGCCATATATAGACAGAAGTCCTGTTTTGTGGCTAAGTGATGAGCTATAGGGCAATTTGGCAACCTAAATGGCTGCAAAATATCTACCCACCATGGGACAAAGTACATGATTTGTGGCTTTGATACAAACATATATGAAATGATGAGGCTGTAGTGTCATTTGGCAGCCTAAATGCCTGCATAAATATCTACCATCACAGGACAAAGTACATATGATTGAAATGTTATGAATTGATCAGACTGATCATGATAGAATACATTAAATCCTTGGATCCAGGTGCTTCACTGCTGATATCTGGCCAAAATCCAGCCATTAGGCTTACTTCAGTGCCACTCCCATGGCTTGTAGGCTGGGTGCGTATAAAGACACATGTGCGGTGTCAAGACTGCTTGCTCCTCCTTTGCAATATTATGATCTCTTGTGCTGCATAATCATTATCTGCTTTTTTGCCATTTCCCATTGTCCATATTTATTATTTGGTATTCTGTATCCACATGATATAGATGTTTTCTTACACAGACTCTATATCATCTCCTTAAGTTGTCCATAACTTGATGCACTAATGATAACAGTAAGTTAGCATTTTTTTTTTTTTTTTTTTAATATATATTAAATTTCTGTAATATAACCTTTGGTGCTGGTTAAGGCTGGCAGGAATAGTACCAAAGTATGGAAATAGTTTCCTCCGTGGGATTAGGCTCTTCCGTCATGGCTCATGGTTGGTATCTTCCATACTCTAGGAATAATGCCAGAGGCCCCTTCCTGAATGCCCTACTGAGTCTAATTACTCTCCAAGAGCTTTGTACACTTTAGCAAGTCCATCCTGCCAGCCTGGCCTTCAGCTGAATTTCTCATGACCGCTTGTTCATGTCACACCAGCATTTAGCCAAATTTTTCCATAATGACATGGACATGTCATCTGATCTAAGAGGTTAAGATTATACTGGAGTAAATCTCCCTGCCCATATCAGCAATCCTGTACTGCCTCACCCCCAAGATTTTCAAGATTAAACTTCACTTTGATGATGAACTGGACTAAAGAAGATATGATAGTGATAATCATCATATGATAATCATTATTATTATTATTTTTTTAAGGAGTGGATTCATAAATAGTGATATAAAGGCAATTGGTGTTTGTAAATATGAAGCAAAACTGAGCATCAATTTGTATAGGATTCATAATTCTTTCTTATCATTTTTGTGTAATTCATGTCCATGTAAAAGTGGCTGGAGATGAAATCAT